GAAGCCTCAAATCACTTTCAAATTAAAGGATAAGTTCCTAGTTTTAATGTCAAAAATGAATGAAAAGCTTACCTTATCGGAAATCAATGGTAATTTAATAAAAATCATGAACATCAAATCGATAATTACTGATGGATCGTTTGCACAAAGTCAGCTTTTGAGGCATAGTTTCCACTAAAAAAATCACTCCTATGGCGCGAGAACAAGATAAACAGACTTCGGTAGGCTTAAAATTATAAAGGCTGGACATCGAATTTTCCCGATTTATACTCCTGTCCGGAAATTTTTCGACGGCAGGGTGTGTATGTGTGTATGCGTGTGCGTGCGTGCGTGTGTGTGCGTGTGTGTGCGTGTGTGTGCGTGTGTGTGTGCGTATGTGTGTGCGTGTGCGCGCGTGTGCGCGTGCGTGTGCGTGCGTGTATGTGTGTGTAACACTTAAGCTCATCTCTGATTATTATATTGATGTGATGCAATGTTAACAATATTTATTTTTATTCTAATAGAGGGATCCATTTGCTTATAATATAAAATGATTATCACAGTGTTACGTCCGACGATGAAGATAGGGAGGGACGGATTAAGTCACTATTTATATTGCTAAATTTCTTTGATTCCACTCCTAAAGAAATTCTCATAAAGACGCGGCCCGAGCCGAGCGGAAGAACAAGCGAGTGTCTTTGTTGTTGAACTACACGATAGGTATACATTGGCAAAGGAGAGAGGGGATAAAAAGGGGTTTGCAGTCTTGCAGTTATTATAACTATTTGTGAATATTTTTTGTCTTACCGTATGACGTCTAGTATCGACGAACTGGTTGCGATGATCTTATCTATCGATGATAAGGGGTGAGGAGAACAGGAGTGGCGAGATGATCGCGGAGGCTAGATGCGAGGCGAAAGAAAATTCTGCTACCGCATTTGAGATTTTAGAAAGGTTATTTACTAAATCGCTTTCTCTCGTATGTGTCGATCTCTTCTCCTTCAATCTTACTTTAATTATAGTTCATTAGTTATACTATCTCTAAATTTGGCGACGCACGCAAAAAAAGAGACATAAAAAAAGAAAAAATGAAAGAAAGATAAAATTGATGCGAATATATATGTATATATAAATAAATAATACGTGCATATTATTTCTAAAATTTTAAATATATATTTAAAATGGAACTATTTCAAATATTGCCCTGACTATAAAACAAAAACAAGTTACATATTTTATGTATGTGATTAAAATAATGTTATTTTAATTACATCAATACTGTAATTACTATTTATTTTATTAAATATAAAACTTAAGATGAAAACTGTATTTTTAAATTTTTATTCATATATAAAAGTATGGTATTATATGTATATCAATCCCGGAATATATGAGAATCAATTCCGAGTATGAGATTAATTCACATCTTTATAACTTTATTTAAAATTAAATAACTTATTTAATTATTTGTATGATGATATATTCCGGAGTAACTTTTTTTAAATATCAAAAGTTGTAAATATTATAACGTATGTAATTTATTACTTTTTATATATTTTCAAAAATTTTACATCCATTTTTTCTAAAAATTATTATTCAAAAATTTTATGATAATTGTAGACGGTTTTGATCCTACACACGGCCATATTGCAACTCAAGTTGCACATACGATCATATTATACGCAAACATATTGCACGACAATATTGCATACAAATGTTGTACATTATCTATATATGTATACGACTATAAAATAGTTGAACACATAAAATAGTGAAACCACAATAATAAATAATATGTGTATAATTCAATCCTTTAGTTTATTAATAAATTGTAAATATATAATCAACAAAATAAATTAATAATTATTTTATTTGCACGCATTTGATGATACGTACAGTGTGGAACGTCCATAAAGTTAACCCTCGTTTTTGTCTAAACCTCCGTAAAAGTCACGTCTTAAGAGGATGCTGAAAGGTCGGCCAAATTTGTACAAGGTCGATAAAGCAGACTTTTCAGTGTCAATGGTATCTTTAAGAGGATGCTTAAGCCGTCTGTTTTATCGACAAAAATACCATATTTGTTGGTTACTAAATACTTCGTATTAATCGCATAGAATAAAATGTCCTTTAC